TTCAAAAAGCAAATTCCTCAGTATGCACATCTTCATGGGGAGTTCTTCTATATCTTGCAATCAAATTCCTCAATATTGAGTACTTTCAATTCATATGTTTATCCCCGTTGAAAACTTAACCTATATTGTCATCAATCACCAAGAGGGAGATTGTAAGTGCATCTAGTGCCCCTTAGTGATTTTGGTGTATTGAAGACTTATAGGTAAGGGACTAATATGTTTGTGAGTGTACACAGGTTCTATAAGTCAATGGGGAGTTTGATATTTACAGTAAACGCCGACCCCTAAAAATGAATGTCTTTGGTTGAAGACTTTGGTTCTCCTGAAGATTTTGAAAGTGAAGAAATTGGTGTGACCATGAAGACTTTGATATTCATGCGAGGAATCTGAAGCGTGAAGACTTTTGTTTTCGTAGTTTCATTTTCTTCTTATTGAGTCATAGGAAACACCGTACTGTTAAAGGGGGTCGAGGTAATACTAAGGAAATAGATTTCCAAGTGATGCTCATCTCAAAATCCTACACCTACCCAATCCTTCGAGTGAAGCCATTGGAAATCTCATATCTGTTCAGTCAATTTCTTTAGTGACAAAGACGAAGATCTTCTGGTCTCTGAGGAATTTGTTCTGACTGAGGAGTTCGGAATTCGGTAGTGCGAATTGCCTACATAGTGAGGTACATGATAGCCTTCAGGAATTCGAACCTCAAATATCCGACCGTTGCTGAGCCGCACGCCAGCTGTTCCAAAATATCCTACCACCTAACGGTCATATCTGCCAAGGGCATTTATGTCTTATCATATCGGGCTGCTCCCTAGGCTATAAATAGCCGCCCCCCTACAACCACTAGCTGGTTGGCTGCTCCGAGAGAAACTGACACTTTTCATTTGAGAGCACCCCATCCTCTGATGACTTTGAGAGAAAATCATCAAGTGAGGAAAACCCAAATCCCAAACCCAAACCTACAAACCCCAAAGTGATTGAGCATCACTGAAGAGATTGTTCCTGTGTGGAACCGACGCTTGTTACCTTTGAGGACTGTGTATCTTCCAAACGGTTAGGCGTCATGGTCTGAGCATCCAAGAGAAATTGTGGATTGCCGAGTGACCAAGTCTGTGAAGGTTTGGAAGTCACCTGTGAAGACTTACCACTACCGTTGGGCAAGGTCTATGTGATCTTAGCTCAAGGAGAATACGGTGAGGACTGTGTGTCCTCGAGTTTAAATACTCGGCCGCTCCAACCAGACGTACAACTGTCACAGCAGTTGGAACTGGTCTACCAATTCATTGTCTTCCCAAGCCAACTGGTTCTATTTCCTCAACCCTTTTATTTCCTCAGTTATGTGTTGATGTACCTAATCATTACTGTTTGAAGACTTTGACTGAAGACTTTCTCTAATTCCTCAATCCTATTTCTTCAGTCAGTTTGTCTTCATCCTACTTATCGTGTGTTTACGCTTTTTGTACTCTGTGTTTGTCTTTCATTTCATCATGATGACTATGCTGTTAATCTGTTTTGCTTATACCTGGGTACTTATTCCGCTGCAAGTAGTTCTTCGCTTAGGAATTTCCTCACCCTGAAATTCCTCAGTGAAGAATTCATAAAAATCTCCTATTCACCCCCCCTCTAGTCGACGTAACACACTTTCAGTTGGGTTAGTGGTACTTGTGCCACTTTCTCGCTGGCGTTTTTTTCTTTGACCTGCTTGTATGAGAGTTTCCTCACCACTTTGTATCGGTTCAGCTATTTGTGCCTTTATTTATAACTAGTAAATGTGTACGTGCAATGCACGTTGATATCAGTTAATATATTAATTACATGTAAATATTAGGTATGATATTATTTGTGTATAAATTATGTGATTAGCATTGGCATTAATATTTGATATGATGTTAACTGCACACTAAACGTGTTGAGCGCTCACCATTGGAGCAGCTTCAGTCATTGGATTGACCTGATTTAATGCTGCCTCTTTGGGTCTTTTTATATTGACTAGCAAAACATGCCCGTGCGTTGCAACGGGAAAAAAAATGTCCTTACACCGTCCTGCTAAAGAATGCAACGCATAATCATTATTGCGTGCATGCACACATGGACGCCACAACTTCCTAGGCCACTTTGTAAATATCCTAGCTCACTGTATCATGCAGCCTGCAAAGCACTTCTCATCTTGCATGTAGGATCCGTATAATTAGCTCACACCACGCAATCTTGTTAAACTAATTTAAATTGGTGGGAATCATTTGATTTGATCTATGTGGGACTATTCAACATGAAATATCCACAAACATTAATACTATGGGGTGGGCTCTATTTTTTGTACGTCGATGGTTTACGTGGGCGCGCTGGTGCAACTGGCCCAACAGCTGAAGCGTTGGCCGAGGCCCAGTATAGTTAATTACACGTGCGAGAGCTTATATAGAAATATATGACAACTCGACTTTTGGTCACAACAATTAGCCGTCACATTTGGTCATTGCGTTGCGCCTTCGATGCAAGAAAGAGGTCTCCGGTTTGAATCCCGGGCGCACAATATTTTTTAGATATAGTCTTTTCGATAAATATATACTTCCTCTGTAAACTAATATAAGAGCGTTTAGATCATTATTTTAGTATTCTAAATGCTCTTATATTAGTTTACGGAGGGAGTAGATATAAAGAGTGAGGAAAACTGCTTCGAGAGAGTAAGGCTGGTCATAGTGGGAGTAACATAGGTAGTAACATAGATGCCACATAAGTAAAATTGGTGATGTGGCAAGTAGTTAATGAGGAGAGAGGCAAATAGAGTAACATAATATGTTACCATCACATAGCGGTTTCCAATGCATAATGAGTCTACAAAGTAATAAATGAAGGCAACTATGTTACTACACCTATGACACTACCCACTATGAAGGTATAGTAACATAGACTAGTAACATATGTATGTTACTAGTCTAAGTTACTCTCCACTATGACCAGCCTAATATCACTTCCCGAAAAGAGAGAGAGAGTAATATCACATCCGGTGGGCCGCTGTTACGGACTAGGCCGTATGGTTGGTACCACAGAGTATCCGGACGGTTGGACGGGCTCAACGACCTGCGCGCGCACCTTCTGGTCGCTCCGCGGCGTACCTCACCGACACACTGACCCCACAGCTTCCGGACCCCACGGACCAGTGAGCCGCCACGGAAGCCCCGACGGCCCCATCCGGACCAGCTCCTCCACGTCCGCTGCAGCAGCACGCGACGCGCTTCCTGTCCTTCTGATCTGCTCTGCTCCCCGCTAACTCTGTCTTCCTTGCCTTCAACTCCATTTCAAACCAGACCCGCGATCGCCGCCGCCACCACCGCCGGATGCCGATGGCCGCGCCGCAGCCTCGCCGACACCACGCCGCCTTCCTCCGCCGCAGGCCCCCCACCCCCCGCCCCGCCCCCGCCCCTGCCAATGGGAAGGCCGCCGCGGCCGCCTCCACCAGCTCCAAGCCTGCCCAGGCGCCACCCCCGTACGCCCGCCCGCCCGCCTCCGATCGTCGTTACCAGCCGCC